ACATATATATATATATATAAAGAGAGAGAGAGAGCGCTTGGTTCAAATACTAACCAATATTTTTGTGTTAACTTTGTTAACCAATCTTGGCCATTGATTCTTACAATAAAGGGTTGTGATTAATCATGATAAAAAATTAAATTTTTAAATTTATAATTTCAAAGAACATATGTGAACAAAGGGGAAAATGGTATTTAGGTAATTTTCTTTTTTATGTAATATGAACTTGGACTGTATAGCATTTATAAACACAATATGAATATAATAAAAATAGTTGTTACACGAAAGTAAATAAATAAAAAAACATGTATGAACACATTATGAACAGTTTGTGAACAATAGTTCTTTCATTATGAACACATTCAGGAGCAAGTCAATGTTGAGATATGCAGCTAGTGTACATATGAACACAATATGAATAGTTTGTGAACAATAGTTCATTCATTATGAACATATTCAGGAGTAAGTCAATGTTGAGATCTGCAGCTAGTATACATATGAACACAATATGAACAGTTTGTGAACAATAGTTCCTTCATTATGAACACATTCAGGAGCAAGCCAATGTTGAGATATGCAGCTAGTGTACATATGAACACAATATGAACACTTATGAACAATTTTTTAATAATTACATATGAATTCGAATTCCGATTGTAGTCGTAGACGATTTTAACCTTTTCATTCTCATTGTTGTCGATCAGTTTTCCAATAGGTTTATTCATATTACTCGAACGATATCGAAATCTTTACAATCGGAAATTCTTTAACAATTACAAAATTAATATCATTATGGATAGAATAAATCGAAATTACAAAACATGAACACGTATAAAAAAAATATCAATAGTACATAATCATCAATTATTGAGATTTTTAGATTTGTAACTCCCAATTAATGATTTGGGAGTTACATAAATGACAAATTACTTAATTACCCTTGTCATTAATGTATGAGTTATATGTGAACCTAAAGAAAAGATATAATATGATTGGTTAAACTTGGTTAACAATGTTAACACAAAAATCTTGGTTAGTATTTGAACCAACCCCTATATATGGGTGAGTTCATTCGTTAACCCAATATATGGTGTTAACTTTGTGAACCCATCTCATCCATTGATCTTTAAAATTTATTGTTGAGATCATTCATGACACAAAATTTAATTAATTGCACAAAGAAGCAAGACAACATAAGTGAACAATGTTTACAGAGGTATTTTGGGGGCAAAAAATTAAGGATATGAGATTCAACTTGTTCACTCATGCTTAAACTCATATAAGTGTTATATTATCATGTTTTTATGAACATTCTTATGTCAATTCATGTTTGAAAGACTGTTCATGAATGAACAAATATTCATGGTTCATATGTACTCATTGTTCATGGTTTTTGATAAATGTATTTATGGTCCACCAATTAATAATTACTTTATAGAGATAGTGAGCTATCGTTCATCGGTGAACCCTATTGTGGTTAAAGTGCATACTGAACATTGACCATTGCGTCAACAATCAACAAATGATGTCTTTACGCAAGTTTAGTTACACACAATTTACAACTATGAACTTATTATGGTTCACTTATGAACACATGCATTATTTCATTATATTGTTATGAAAACATGTTTTTATGAAATTGCTTAGTTGTAATGGTTAATTTAATATGTTTCAATCAAGACCAAAAAAGAAAATTACTAACATACCCTCAACATTAACGCATAGAGAGATGAATATTAACTATAAAAGCCTTTTGATTGGTCTATAAACACCTATGAACACCATATGAACATTAAGTATAAAGATCTTTTGTTAACCATATAGTGTTCATAGGTGTTTATAGACCAATCAAAAGGTCTTTATACTTAATGTCCATATCTCTCTATACGGTTAATGTTGAGGGTATGTTGGTAATTTGTCTTTTTTTTGTTTAGATTAAAACATATTTAATTGACGGATACAAAAAAAATTCATGTTCCATGATTTTAACCATTTTTTTTTTGGTCTTGATTGAAATATATTTAATTGACCGTTACAACTAAGCAATTTAATAAAAACATGTTTTCATAACAATATAATGAAATAATGCATGTGTTCATGAGTGAACCATAATATGTTCACAAATGTAAATTGTGCATAACTAAACTTGCATAAAGAAATCATTTGTTGACTGTTGACATAATGATTAATGTTTAGTATGGACTTTAACCACAATAGTGTTTCTTGAGGTGTTCACCGATGAACGACAACTCAATATCTCTATTAAAAGTAATGTATTTATTGGTGGACCATGAATACATTTATCAAAAACCATGAACAATGAGTACATATGAACCATGAATATTTGTTCACTCATGAACAGTCTTTCAGACATGAATTGACATAAAGATGTTCATAAAAGCTTGTTGATATAACACTCATATGAGTTTAAACATGTTTCATGAGTGAACAAGTTGAATCTCATATCATTAAAATATTTTCCCAAAATACCTCTTGTAAACATTATTCAGTTATGTTATCTTGCCTCTTCGTGCAATTAATTAAATTTTATGTCATGAATGATTTCAATCATAAATTTTAAAGATCAATGGATAAGATGGGTTAACAAATGAACTCACCCCAATATATATATAT